TAGCACATATTATTTAAGTATTTTCAAGATAAACAGAATGTATAAGTGCAATATCAATTAAAAAAATATGTATATATTTGCACTCTTTCAACATAAATAAATTTAGCATTGCACAACAAGAATTGTGATTTAACTTTTCAACTATGAAAACAAGTTTTACAAAGATATATTTTGCCACTGATTATTCAAAACTTAAGGTTGTGAACTAGCAGTGTTATGCTGCTTTGAAACATCACTGTCACTGTAAACAACAGGCTAATAAAAATATAACAAACCAGCAATCTTCTTGCTGTGAGGTGGTCAAACTACCCACTGTGCCACCGTGACACCCATTATTTTTATCATTATTATTATTAATATTATTATTATTATAATTAAATAAAAATTAACAGGAGGAGGTGTTTAAAACCTTCGTTCTCCGTGACACTAGGCTGAATATCTTTGCAGATGAACAATGCAATAGCATTCGTTATTGGCGTAGAGCGAGCAGAACTGTTGCGCACGAAAAAAAACTTGCAATGCTTTTCTCACCACTTTTGGAGCTGGTTGAAGCAGTGCGAAAGCCGGGGATGCAGAAACACTGGAAGATGCTTTCACAACAACACCGTGGCGCTGCTTCAAGTGAGATTTCAGATTAGTCGTACTGCCCGCGTATTTTACAGATGCGCGGCACATTTTGCAAATTGCATCTGTCCTGTCATGTCGTCCATCCTTAAATCCATAATGTTGCCATACTTTAGATTTAAAACTCAGTGGGGAATAAAATGTTTGTTTTGCTTGTCGCGCTTTCTGAGGGCGCACCACTAGCTTCATCCGCACACCTGATACACTGAGTTGTAGTGTGTGCACATCCGCAAATCCGTTGCTAAGGCTTACTTTATGTAGGTCGATTAAATTATGCGCCAAAAACAGGTTGACAACACTTGTTAATAAATAAAAAATACATTCTATATTAAAAATATAAGCTGTATCTCGGAAAAATCGATGCATCTCGCAAAAACCGATGTATCTCGATTTGCTTCCAAAATTTCATTCATCCTCTGCTGCTCAACCGATGAAAACTAGACATGTGCTGTTGGTGAATTGAATCAACTAAATTGGCTGCAGTGTATGTGTGTAAATGAGTGTGTATGAGTGTTTCCCAGTACTGGGTTGCAGCTGGAAGGGAATTCGGAAAGCATATGCTAATAACAGTTCTCTAATAAATGAATTGTTAAACATTTATATAATTCTAAAAATAAATTGTCATTCATCTCATCATTTATACACCTGCATGAAAACAAAACATTGCATATATTTTATGGCCCAATCCCAATTCTGCTCCTTTCTCTTATCTTTACCAATACCCCTCATTTTGCACGTTCACGTCGAGGAGTAGGGGTGTCCCAATTCTATTTAGCTTGTCAGCGTAGGGCTAAGAGGAAAGGCTAGATAGCCCTTGAAACTGAGATTTTTCAGGACCACACTGGAAACCAAGGGGTAAGAAAATTTGCCAGAATACATCATCTACAGCGGCAGTATAGCTGCACACGAAAGTAATGAGATCCACAAATTAGTTTTTTTCTGTCATTATTATGAATTTCTACAACAAACAAGCATATGTTAAAATATATGCATAACCGCATTTGTGTTACCGTCATGCTTTAAATAAAAACACTAAAATAAAACCTGCTAAGTTTCACTAACTATAATCCATAATCATAACTCCTGTACAGCAGTTCCACAACATTCTGTCGCTCGATGACACTCAAATACCCTGTCAGAAAAGTTTAGTGGCTGGAAAATCCCTATTTACAGTGTCTGCTATAATGTTAATGTTGTTTTGTGTGTTTACATAGATGAATATGGCCATGGTGTAAATGCAAAGTATAGTTATGATCTTATTGCCACATTATATTGTTATGATAACATAATATTGTTGCCTTCAGTGATTTCCTGAAGAAAACCACCAAAAAAATAACGCAACTGGAATAACTACAGCAGTCACGATCGTCAATCTCATATGAAGCAAGAGATTGCAATGACATGATGACGTGTGCAGGTGCTGTATTGCTGTTCCATTTCTTAGGGGTACATTTTGAAGCCCTTCCCCTTTGCACTTGGCAAGGGCCAAGGGGAAGGGGAAGGTATAGGGGTTCAAAACTAGAATTGGGATTGAGCCTTTATCTGTAGCTACTAACATAGCATTATTGAACAACCTCCAGACCTCATTAATTTTCAAACCTTGCCTAAAAATGTCATTCAGCGTACAGACATATAGCTTCATGACATGGGACAAAGTACGCTAGCGCTCATGTGTGCTCCCCTCGGCACTGGAGATCATTTTTGGGAGTTGTGTGCATTACATTGTCAAGAAGCCAGCGCTACAGGAAACCTTCTTTCTGAGGTCTAATGACCATTATATTCAGTTTCACACTTCATTATCTCATCAAATTATCATTAGGCGCTAGATTAGCTGAACTCAACTGCGAGGGCCTTTCTAAGCGTATAACAAATATTTGAAATGTGTTATTTATTTATTTATATATATTTTTTTTTTTACATTTTCCACAAATCATGAAAGAACCCAGACAATCTACATAAAGTTATATGTACAGCAATAGACATGGTGCCATGGAAGCAACATTTGTACATTGTAATATGGTCAATTAATAATATATTCAGTTTTAAAAACACAGAAAAAGATTGAGTTTGTTTTAAAGTGAAACACACAGTCAATGAATAATTCATTGTGAGCTGACCACAAAGCACAGCTGTCTCTGCCATCTCTCATGTAAACAGCCTGTTTTGTGTGTGTGTGTGTGTGTGTGTGTGTGTGTGTGTGTGTGTGTGTGTGTGTGTGTGTGTGTGTGTGTGTGTGTGTGTGTGTGTGTGTGTGTGTGTGTGTGTGTGTGTGTGTGTGTTTGTGTGCGTTTGTGTGCGTGTGCGTGTGCGTGTTCGTGTGTGTGTGTGTGTGTGTGTGTGCTACCCAAATAATGACTAAAAGTAAATCTTTGAGAATCTCAAGCCAGGTGTCTCATTAGACCAGGGGTTAAGCTCCTGTTTCCAAAATGCATCACAAACTGCTTATGAAACTGTTGTACTATGATAATTGGTGATGAAAATAAATGATGTTCAATAAGATGTACTTGTGTTTACTAACTGTTTATTCAGTTAAACATGAATTTTGAACTGTAGGCCTACCTAAGCTCAAAAAGAGATTCAAAGTCATAACTGAACTAAACAGAAATGGAATTAAGACATGTGGAGTATGTATCTATTAGTGGCATTATTGAAGTAAACACCGCAATTAAACTATTACCGTCAATTCATCATAGCTTACCTAGAATAGACCAAGCTCCCAACCCAACTCTAAAAATAGATTAACAGCGATATGTTTTTTATCACGTGATAAGAGTCTTGCGTTAACGCAGCATGTTAACGCCAATAACGGCCCACCACTAATATATATATCATAGTAAGCATTCTGAAACCCAAATATTCCACTGTCCCAGTTTAATTTGGCATGTCTTTTGTTCATAAGCAAACTCACAGCAAGAGCCAGTTCCAGATGCCCGACCGTACACTGATGTTATCACAGGCGTGACTGCTGTTCTGTAGGACAGAGCATTTCGTTAACCCGAGGCGCTAACGACACCGAATCATCTGTAATTGATCTAATTGATTCTCCACTGCTTAATTAGATTCTTGTCACTCCTAATGCATTGGTGATGAAGACCCTCGGGGTACGAGAGAGAGAGAGAGAGAGAGATGAGCTTTCTTCTAACAGTTGATGATAAAGGCACCAGTCGTTGCTCTGGTCTCCTGTGAGCACATAGACAGCTTTTATCCGTTTGTGGTAATTATTCTGCAATCAGCATACAAACAGCTGTTCACAAGCGCTTTGTTATGCTCTGTTTATAAAATAGATTTCTGGATGATATGGGAGCTGTTGGAAAGGAGGTGCTATGTTTAGAGATATAGATTTTGCTGTAATAAAGCGAATATCTTTTTCTTGTAGCTTGGCCCGGTAGAGCATGGTGCTAGCAAACCCAAGGTCAAGGGTTTGATTTCCAGGGAACACGCAAACCAATCTATATCATGAAATCACTGTAAATTGCTTTTCACACTACGCTTAACTTTGGATTAACGTATTCTTAAAGCCTCTCGCTTCCTCTGCCAAGGACACGCATTGTGAATCAGGGCAGTGCTTCAGTGTTACTTCAGGTTGTTTAGCGATCATGAACTCTGCGTCTTCCATAAGGTGGTAAGTTTTAAAGGGACAGTTCACCCAATAACGAAAGCTCTGTCATCATTTTTTCACCCCTTACTTGTTCCATATCTTCCTGTGTTTTGTTTTGTTTTGTTTTGTTTTGCTTTGTTTTATTTTGCTTTGTTTTTATTTTGTTTTGTTTTGTTTCGTTTTGCTTAATATTGTGTTTTGTTTTGCTTTTTATTTTGTTTTGTTTTGTTTTACTTAATTTGTTTTTGTTTTGTTTGTTTTGATTCATTTCGTTTTGTTTCGTTTTCGTTTTGCTTTTTTATTTTGTCTTTGCTTTGTTTTTGTTTTTTTGTTTTTTGTTTTTTGCTTTGCTTTGCTTTGTTTTTTATTTGGTTTTGTTTTGCTTAATAACATTGTTTTTTGTTTTGTTTTTTGTTTTATTTTGTTTTGTTATGTTTTGCTTAGTTTTGTTTTTTGTTTTCCTTTGCTTTGCTTTTTGTTTTGTTTTGTTTTGCTTAATTTTTTGTTTTTTGTTTTGTTTTGTTTTGTTTTGTTTTGCTTTTTGTTTTGTTTTCTTTTGTTTTGTTGATTTAAATAAGTCTCTGATGTCCTTAGAATGTGTATGTGAAGTTTCAGCACAAAAATACCCCACATATAATGTTTTATAACTCTTTACAACTGCCTAGTTGTGCCATTTTGACGTCGCTTTGAATTCGAATGAGATTGTGCTCTTTTTAAAACAGGGCGGAGATACAAATGCCTGTGTCAGCATAGTGGCACATTCAAAAACAAGACTAATGTCCTATGCTTATAAGGGAGAGATTGTCACTATGGTTCAAAAAAATTGTATCAATATTCAACATTAGAAGCTAGTTACATTCATATACTGTTGCCACATACTGTAACTGTGTTTAAACCCCTTATAAAAGTGATTTTTCCGTAACAGGTCCCCTTTAAAGCTTAACTATCAACTGATAACCTCTAGATGACATAAAATTTGCCTATTTCCTTTAAGTACCTTTAATGCTACAACCTGTTTACTGCCATTGTGATATCACAAAATACAGCGCCCTCTGTTGTTCAAAATTTGTATTGTGAATGATTTACGTCCCAAACCAACCTAACTGGTCACAATTGAATTGAATTTCACCCAGCTCTATTGTTTCAACCATCCATGATTTCTGCCACAAAAACCCCATAACCAGCTTCAGATGTTAGCATTCGCCATGTGATTGCCGTGTGAATGTAGATCAGCGCAGTTAATCAGAGCAGTGAGGTTAGCGATGTGATATTTGTATGTGTGTATATGTGTGTTGGCAGGGGGCTGATGGTGTCTACAGGCGGGTAACTGTGCCTCACATGAGTAAGAAAGAACAGATTTGTCCCTGCTGCTAGCGCTGATGATAGCTATCTCCATGCATCCAGACAGATGGACCGTGTGTGTGTGTGTGTGTGTGTGTGTGTGTGTGTGTGTGTGTTTCCATGCGCTTGTGTGTGTGTGTGTGCTCAGAATGGAGACCACCACCACAGAAAAAGATCCTTTGTGTGTGCATCTGACTCGCTTTCTCTTTTGTCCTTATCTATTTATCACTGATGGGTTGAACTATAAACACCGGATGCTGGGTTATCACTGTCTTTTGTACATTTCTACCTTTTTCTCCTCCTGCATTTGGAGTGGGAAGAGAGTTGAAGGCCTTCAAATTTCTGTGCTTTCATTGAAAAGCACAATAGGCTGGATATTAGCATTTGGGCCAATCTCCTAATGCAGTTAAAGAGGCTGCAGGGGAGTCAAACAGAAGGACGGGAGCTTCCAATGAGCTTTTTTTTTTTCATGTAGTTTTTTTTAACCTGATTGTCAGATAGGATGGGGATTGGAAAGAGTGATGTTTTGAGGGTTCGTCCAGGTGAAGTGCCCAGTGATTGAGGCATGGTGCTGGAGTCTGACCTTACTGTCCTGCTCTCTCTTATGCACAGTGATTACATCATCGAGGAGAAGAACGCTATGCTCCAGAAGAAGGAGAATGAGGGATTCGGCTTTGTCTTGCGAGGAGCAAAAGGTAAGATGAACTTAATTTTTAAAAAATGTGTTTATTTATTTGAAAGGGACATGCACAACAATACATTGGCCTTAAAAAGGAAATGTGTTTCGCGCTAGGCTTTAGCAAGAACTGCTTTTTTCTACCTGCAGTCCTTGGACAGGTAGATCTTTAAACACTCAAAATTAAATAATAAAATAAAATAAAAAATAAAATAAAATAAAATATAAAACCAAATAAAATAAATTAAATAGAAAAAAAAAAAAAAAAAATATATATATATATATATATATATATATATATATATATATATATATATATATATATATATATAATTAAATTAAATATAAAAAAATTAAAATAAATAAAATATCAAATAAAATTATAAAAATAAAATTATAAAAATATAAAAATAACTAAATACTAAAAAATAAAATGAAATAAAGTAAAAAGTAAAATAAAATATAAAATAAAAAACAAAATCATATTAAATTACATTAAAATAATTTCATTTAAAAATAAAATAATACAAAATAAAATATAAAATAAAATATAAAATAAAATAATTAAAATAATGAAATTAAATAAAAAATTAAATGCAATACATTTAATAAATATAAAAATAAATAAAATAAAATAATAAAATAAAATAAAATAAAAATAATAAAAAACATGAAGACATCTTACAACTTAACCTAAGATTTTTCTTCATACTATTGGGTTGTGAAAAAAAAAGAGGATTTTCACAAACTGGCTAATGCCATTTAATTTGAAATGCAGATTTATTGCAAATGCATTTAAATAGGTTGGTTATATAATGTGCATGGCCTCAGCCAGATCAACTTAAAAGGAAAGGAGGTGATTGTATTTTAATTGAAGACCAGTTTTTTTTTTTTTTTTTTTTTTTTTTTAATTACTTAATCATATATTTTGCTTAAATAATAAAAATAATAATAAAAATAATATTGATGATAATGGTAACACTTTACAATAAGGATGTATTTGTTAATTTATGTTACTGTATTAAATAACATGAAAAATACATTTCTTACAGTGTTCATCTTCATCTTTGGTAACGATAGTTAATGAAAATGAAGTTGTTCATTGTTAGTTCATGTTAACGCAAAGTGCATTAAAAAATGTTAACAAGTATAGATTTTGGATTTTAATAATTTGTTAATAAATGTTGAACAATGATTAATAAATACACTACAAGAAATGTTCATTATTAGTTCATGTAATTAAATACATGAATGAAACGATATAAAGTGTGACCATAATAGTAATAAATAATGTTGATGATGATAATAATATTGAAATTATATAATAATACTGAAATTAAAACTCAATTTTGCTAATATAAGCATATTAATAATGTTAAACTGTCTGTAGTAGTAATGATTAATAACATTTAACCAGTCAAAATCCTAATTTTATAGTTGTAAAATATCAATTTTGCCTTCATCATTATTACTATTGTTATTATTGATTAAAAATATTTATCTATTATTATATATATATTGTAAAAGCCAGGGATTGTGAGTTAATTGTATTTGTTAACATCTATATACTATTATTTTACCACATTTGCGTCATTCAATTCAAATTATAATTACAGACCACAATGCATGTCAGAGCAACAGATGCATTTCTGGTGACAGCTTAAATTAACAGAAATGTCACAACATGAACTTGATGTTTGGTGTAACATACAGTGAAGAATCGCCACCATTGTTAGACATTTGTGTTTGACAACGTATGGTTTAGTTTGTTTGTCAGTTTATACTGTAAGTGTGTCTGTGTGTGTGTGTATACGCATGTCTGCGTCTGTGCATGTGTGTTTGTGCATGCCCAGTCTCTGGGGTGGCACCATTCTGTGTAGAAGTTATGAGTTCCTAATGCCATCTGTTGCCCACATGGTGCATTCATATCTCTTATGAGTATGAGTTTTGGCTTGTTTCTTTAATGCTTTCATAATTCCTATACTATGACTTTCGCTTAGATAATAAAGAGCAAAACACTTACCGCTTATTTACAGAAATGGTAGGTAAAGTTTGCCATTTTATACAGTTTTTAACATGCATACACTGACTAATAAATTAGATAATAAGCCATTTATTGATTAGTTGTAGAGTCGAAGCACTACATTATCTTACGCATGGATTATTGTATGTGTGTGTGTGTGTGTAGCGGAGACACCCATTGAAGAGTTTACACCCACACCTGCCTTTCCTGCACTGCAGTACCTTGAGTCTGTGGATGTCGAGGGCGTGGCCTGGAGGGCGGGGCTTAGAACTGGAGACTTCCTCATTGAGGTATAACATTGATTTGACCACTGTTATACATGTACTATGTCTGCCATACGCTTGTGAAGTTCTGTCATGTAAAGTACTGTTTATGGGTCCAAGCCTTTACTCATGTGAATGGGCCTTCAAATTTTTAGGTTTATCCGTAGCGAATGTCGTCATAATTGGGTAAAATTTGCTTACTCACATTATGTACATTTGCCTTGAACAGTGATGAAGCCCCCTTGCCCCCTCTCTCCCGATGGTCTGCACTCACTCACAAACATTAAAAGTTGGATTTAATAAAAAATAAAAAAGCATTAAGGTCAGCTATCTTAGGTGTAACTTGCTTTCAAACTATTTTTTGCAGTTCAGTTTTAGCGATCTTCATGTTTACAATCATGCTCCATTCGCAGTGCACTTTGAAAACTGTGATGTCATTTTGAACACAGCTTCATGGCGATAGCTATAGGTGACCTATTATTTAAAAGCGGAATTTATCTTACGTCTCCAAAGCTTGTGAAACAAAAGCATACGTTAATTCTTTTAATTTATAGTAGGTTATTTATTAAGTATCTGTACTGTATATGACATGGGCCTGCTAGTTAGAACTTTCTGCAGTGGTTTACAAGTGTTAAATTGTAAAAGTAGACTTTAAAAATAAATAAATAAATAAATATTACATTTACATTTATAATAAATAGCCTCATTGTTTATTTATATGATTTATATGATATTAGAATATACGTGTTAGCTTTTGTAAGTGATATGTTTTAGAATAGAATATGTAATGTTCAACTTCTCAATAATAATAGAAAAGCAAACATTGGCCCTCTATGTGCCATTTACATATATTTCAATTAATATGGAAAGCGAGTGCATGTTTTTACCACATCTATATGGATTTTATTTTAAATGTGTGTGTGTGTAAAACAATATAATATGCACAAAGAAGTTATAGGTTCTTCTCTTAAGAAGTAGTTACTCTACCCAGTTTAGAGCATCATTATGGGCGTTTTACATTATAACTAACGTGGTTCAAGCGATGGATCTGAGACAGAGAAACTATGCATTTTGGGAAACACTCGTCACTACATCATTCTTTTCCCAAATGATGCATCATACCATGATAGTTCAGCCACGAGTTATGTTGTTGTTTGGGAAACGCACCCCGGAATGACAGTTCCTCATTAAATTTAAAAAGGTACCCTCAGACTGACCACATTTACAACAGTGGTTATTTTTTATTAATCCTATCCTATGCAGTCTTACTGGGGTCCAATAGAAATAAGGTAATGTATAATAAATAATATGTAGAGAAATAAATCTGTAAAATAGCAAAATAAAAATGTACTGCAAGTTTATGCCGTAATATATGACACCAACCCAAAACAATCTATCACAATATATCACTTCAAACTATTAAAAATGTTTATTAAAGACACTTTTTCTAACATTTCAAGGTTAGAAATTGTTGGAAGAAAAATCAAGGTCCCAAAATGCAATTCAAAAGCATAAATAAAAAAAAAACATGAAAACCGCTAATTTATGGTTATTTTTTACAGTGTGGATATAAACATTAAAACAATAGCACACTGTGAACATATATTTGTACCATTTGTTGTTCTGTATTAGCATCTTGTAGAGTGCTTGGACCTGGAAACTGTGACGCAGTATATCAGACTTTACAAGTGGATTCATTGTGCTTAGATCTTCAGTGCATAAATGTATTGTGGTGTTTGCAGCTGTGTCATAACCTTGAGTCTATTCTGAGATGTGGTAAGTGTGCATGAGGAGCAGAAACAGTTCTGATTTGTTTGTGATTGGTCTCTCAGGTGAATGGTGTAAATGTGGTAAAAGTGGGACACAAGCAGGTGGTGTCACTCATCCGGCAGGGCGGGAACAGCCTCCTGATGAAGGTGGCATCAGTCACACGCAAGCCAGAGTCTGAGGAGACAGTCAGGAAAAAAGGTAAGGTGCTTGTCTGCCTAAAACAAAACAGATCAGGGATTTTAAAACTTTTTTTATTTTAGTTTAGTTTATTTAGTTTTGTTTAGTTTTGTTTTTAATTTATTTATTTTAATGTATTAATTAATTAATTATTAATTAATTTGTTGTTTTGTTTATTTTATTTTAATTATTTTATTTATTTTAATTATTTTATTCATTTTGTTTTATTTTATTTATTTATTTTATTTATTTATTTATTTTTTTTTTGTTGAATTAAATTTTATTAAATTTTCTTGTATTCTAGCAAGAAAATTGCTGGAATTGTCAGATGATTGATTGACTGATTGTCGAACTCAAAGAAATCAAGAAAATCCAATAAAAATAATAATTTTATTCTTATTATTTTTTTTCTTCATTTTTGTTAACATTTTAAAATAGAAAAATGAACACACGTTTTTTGTTTTAAATTTAAAAAATGTAAAGTTTTCAGTTTTAATTATTAATCGTTTTATTTATTTACATTTTTATTTGATTAATCAATTTAATATTAACATAATAAAATAATTAACAATATAATTAATAATAATAATATAAAATAATTAATAATAATATAATTAACATAACATCATAAAAAATTATTATTAAAATTGTTTCATATTCGAGCAAAACATTTTATCCTTATTATCATTGATGATAATAATTGTAATGTGATGGAGATGCTGACAACGAAGTGCGGTTCCAAACGCGGATTTGTTAACAAGAATGGTCAGGCAGGCAACCGTCAACACAGGAGCCAATGCAGATCATCCAAAAGGCTAGTCATAGACAGGCACATGGTCATTACAGGCGACAGGCAGAATAAACATAAAACACGGCAAAGGTCAGCAATGGAAAGACAAGGCAAGGCAAAAATGCGTCGTAATGTTCACAGACAGTTTAACAAGACTCAGATGTGTGTGTGTGTGTGCGCTGTATTTAAAGTCCTTGTAATCAGTTCATAACGATCCTCCTGCTGTGTGTGTTTGTGCGTGTAATCAAAATGAAACAGGAACCGGTGTGTACAAAGTGCATGATGAATTATGTAGTCCATGTAATGGCGGATTTGTGGGACGTTTGTGTTCTGCAGCCGCTAGATCGCTGATAATCATAACAATAATATGTTTATTATTGGTTTCCTTTTTAATTTAAATTGCTTCATTTTCAGACAGAAATGCAAATATTAATATAATTACTATTTAAACCAATTAAATTGTTTGTTTGTTTGTTTGTTTAAACATTTTCTTGCTTACATTTTTTAATTTTTCAGGTACTTCAAGTGTGTTTAACATTGTCTCTCTCGAGAATATCACACTGTCAAGTCTGTATTATTGTAATTGTGGTGTTGTAGTGAAGTCATGACTCGAGGAATGTGCTGACTGCTGGTTTTGTTTGTTTATTGTGGGCGTGGCTTCTGCAGGCAGACAGAAGAGCTCTTAAAGGCATGGGTTGCTAGGGAACCAGCCTTTGATGCTCTGCGCTGTATGTGATGATCAGACAGAGAGAGATCTTCTCTCAGCAGGACGAATCCAGTCTCAAACATAAGGGAAAGAAAAGCTGGAAGAATGAATTAAGCAGCGCGAGTATAAATAATCACAGCCGACCATGATTGTAATGACTGTGGTAGTCTGAGGAGAAAACTTCAGGAGCATTAACTAAATGACAGGGTCGTTTGTCACCAGAAATTGCGATGACTGAGCAGATTGAAGTGTCGAAGTGTTTTCTGTGCCGCCTTTCTTCATACACACATTCTTACAACCCACTCCATCGTTTAGCAGATGACTGAGTTTGCCAGTGGATTTATTAGAACTAAAGCAAAACCTCGAAACCCAAAAAGGAAATCTATTCAGTATCCATGTAAACTAATCCTCACTTTTATCTGCAACTCCCACACAATCCGAACCCTTCATTGACCTGTGTTTGCCTTTAGTGGATGATGGAAAACATAGTAAGTTGTTAGCAGACACTTTCGTCCAGTCTGCCTTAACAGGGAAGGATTCGATAAAGATTATTGCTTAGTTTCGTCCAGATAGTGCTTTTAAAGGGCCATGAAACCCCCTCGTTTCAGCAGGGTGTTTTCACACCTCTACTTTCGAAAAAGTCAGAAAAGTGGGCGCGTCCAGCTCTGTTTAGGGGGGAGTGTCGGAGAAACTAAAGTGGGAGGGTGTGGGAGTGTCTATTTGGGCACGCGCGAGTTTCAGAGTCAAAATACACACCCACACAGACAGGAGAAAGCGATGGTGTTTAACCTACATGGACATCTGTAGTCAAATTATTTGCCAAATTATTAAATGTTGGACTTTAACTGCAGTTTGGCTCTTTCATTCAGGGAATTCATTCATGCCCCTCGCGACAAATGAGATATTTGATTCGAAGATCTGCTCTAAGCGTGTATTTTTCATGCAATGTTTGATACCGCACGGCGAATGACAGAAAAAAAACTCAGCATTTCCCGGAAACTTAGATGCACACGGCAGGTAGCGTCAGAAAGCCGCGTGTGTTATTCCGGTCACAAAATGCGGTGCTAACATGTTTGCACTCAGTGCAATAGTTAACTTAATTGATACGAACAAACTGAATATACAAAGAGCACTGGTCGCTCACTTACCAAATCTGTAGAGACAGGACAATCACCAGCAACTAGAGCCGCGTCTTTATGAAGAGAAGACTACATCCGGATTCCGGATTTCAGCGTTTGCAGATGAGAACAGCTCTCAGGTAAACAATAATCCCCCTTAGACACGTAAATTATTGTTGTCGAGCGTCGCGTACACTGTAATCCACACGTGATCCAGATGAGCTCTCACAGAGAGAAAATGAAAACGAAACTTAATGGCAGCAAACTGTAAAAGCAACACTTCACGCTTGTTTTGCCAACACAACGTGGCGTCTCTGTCGTGTAAATACGGTGACACTAATGAATATTAATGAAGTTGCACAATAGAGCGCGCTGATTGGTTTGAACCAAGCCTTACTCATGCATTAATGCATCACACTGTAAGACGTAATAAGGCACACTCTGGCACAGACGTCCAGTCTGCACGCTGGAATACACGCTATTATGTCATGACCGTGACGCAGCTTCAAAAATTCGTTTCAAACAGGAAGTACGAATTTGCTTGAAATAACGCAAAAACAACCAATTTACACTTTTTAGTGAAATATAGGTGTCCTAATAGTGTTTTTAGCAGTGTGGGACACATATACGACTGTCAACAGCTCAAAAAATGTGTTTTGGTGTTTCGTGACCCTTTAAAGGGGGTTAATTGGGGCACAACTTCTCCATTAAAAGTTCTAATGAACATGAAAATGCAACCCAGGCTTATTGTGGATACGTACCCCTGTCTACATTTCTGGAGAGCGCAAACTATGAAGCCAGAGGTACGTCTGTCTGTTGCGTCTTTAAAACGAATGCTACAGGATGGTATGACGCCGGATACAATGTTTGTTCCTTTTCATGCTTCCATCTGATCGCTTACCTCCATGTGGACAGCTTTTCCGGCCTTACCAGTTTGACTAGTGGTTCTCCGCGTAAGTCGGGGGACTTAGGACGAAGATCTAAGTTGACTGCAACGAAGGCGTTTGAGTCAGGCAAAGAACGGTTCTAGAAACCAGATAAAACAAAACCAATAAATAAATAAATAAACAACAGTCTGAAAACGTGGTCAAATCACACTGCTCCAATGGCTTTTCTTTTTATAGACTGCTTTTTAAAACACTATCGGTAGGGTTGAGGCATGGGTGGGTTGGTCAGTGTGTCAGTCAACAGCAAGCTAAGCTGGTCGGCTGAAGTGTATATTGTGCCCTATGGTGGATTTACACAAGAAGAGGACGCGTGAGAGAAATTTGAGATCAACAAAAAGCTTACATAGCGGCCTCTGCCGGATCTGCAAAAACAAAAACTGCAAGAACACATACCTCCGGTTAGAAATGTAGACCTGAATACCTATCCGCAATGAGCCTGGGTTGTGAAAATGCATGCCTCAGTATAGACCAATTACCAACCTACGTCACACATGATGTCCCACGGGCCCCCGGTTGCAAAAAAAGACAGGCTGCAATATTAAAGGTGGTGTTGTGCGGTAGGATGCCAAAATCGAAGGGAGCTGAATGAAGTGACGACCTTATTAGAAATGCAGGACTCTCCAGTTCTCATGTTATATCAGGTAGGTTCACGCTATGCTAAATGATACATGTCACTCATTTTTGATTGCAGAAATGATTTCAGCAAAAACAGTTACATATTAAACTGCGGAAACTGAATGCTCAAAATGAAACGTGAAAGTGTAAGTTATTAAGGTAAACTTGGTTTTATATTCACACATTCATTCAGTGACAACTTGTGACACACTCCCTATATTGTTTACCACGGCACTTTGATTATTTGGTCTGAAATAACCTACAAGTGTGACTTGTAACACACATTAACACTATTTATTTGACTGTAAGCAATGTTGTACTTTGATAGTCATTGCCTGCTAATATGATTTCGCTATTTAGAGTTTGCAAATAATACTTTAATGAAATTATATTATTAAGGAGAAAGTCTGAATGTGCGAATATAAAACCAATTTTACCTTTACGTCTTCTTTTCTTGTCTTTGGCTGGACAGAATCTCGGTTTTTAACAATACATAGTTTTGAATCTGGTAATCATGAAGCATTATTTCTTGCACATGACCACACAGAACAATATTTTTGGCATCCAAAGACTTGTAGGGCTTTAACTTCCCTCTTGTAAAATCACTTGGAGCTTCAATGAGATTGTATATTTCAGGCTGGATGCTTGGTCATTTTGTCTTATCCAGTATTCATGGGAGGGTGCTATCACAAATGGAGCTGTCAGATGAAAGCCGCTCACTTCAACGTTAATTTTGCCGAATCGCTGTGCTTATCACTGGGTGACGAGCTGTTATAATACGCTGAAAGCATTATGTAAATAACATATATACAATATATAATCAATAGAACTTATTTCTTAGACAACAACAAACTCTGTACCGCATCGGATGTCATTCCCTCGCTGTAAATGCTAGCGCTCCCGATTTTTTTTCTGCCACTTCCTTGTGCACACATCCTGAATGTTTATAAACATGGTAATTGGTCTATACATTTTTGCAAAACATAAAATACATTGCTTCTGGTACATTTCTTTGCAAATTCCAGATGACAAATCCACTAGAAGGCACCGTATACATTTTTGTATGACAGGGTTTGTAGATGCATGACCTTCTTGTATATATCCATGAGAAGGCTGGTCTTGTCATACAGATCATCAGTGAACCACTGATTTAAACCCCTCCTTAAACCCAACCAATAGTATTTTCCAAAACAAACGTAAGATAAAAGCATTTAGTGCATTTCCATGTAGATTTATCTTGATTTTACGTCACTCTATTATGGGACCTGAGCGTTTTGCAGCACCATACAAGGTAAGCTACTAAACAGACCACACCACAGGAGTTGTCCATGTTTGAGAAAGTGGAGTTTAAGTCTGGTGCATACAGAGAGAAGAGGGTTTTACATGTGGATTGAGCTGCGTCAGTTGGCATATCTGTGTAGAGTTTGCATGTTCTCCCCATGTTGGTGTGGGTTTCCTCCGGCTGCTCTGGTTTCCCCCACTGTCCAAATGACATGCGCTACAGGTGAATTGGGTAAGCTTAATTGCCCGTAGTGTGTGTGTGTGTGTGTGTGTGTGTGTGTGTTTCTGTGTGTGTGTGTGTGTGTGTGTGTGTGTGCGTGCGTGTGTGTGTGTGTGTGTGTGTGTGTGTGTGTGTGTGTGTGTGTGTGTGTGTGTGTGTGTGTGTGTGTGTGTGTGTGTGTGTGTGTGTGTGTGTGAATGAGAGTGTATAGATGTTTCCCAGTGATGGGTTGCAGCTAGAAGGGCATCTGCTGCGTAAAACATATGCTGGATAAGTTGGCGGTTCATTCCGCCATGGTGACCCCAGATTACTAAAGGGACTAAGCCAAAAAGAAAATGAATGAATGAATGAATGAAGTTGCCATGAAACAGAAATTAACATTGTTCTTTTTTGACATACATCCACTTGAAACTGTCCTGAAATTAGAAAAAAGTAGGGCAGTGCATAATTTCGTCATTTGAAAACCGATTAGATGGTTGGAAGATGGATTTTGAAAACAATATGAAAGAAGACTGATGAATGGATGAAGGCAGAGCAGAAACAAGACACACCCTGATAGCTCCGCCCTAAAAGCATTCCATGTGACCAGAAGTGAAGAAAAGTCATTTCGAGGGGGGAAAGAAGGTTATAATAGTTGATTAAAGATTCTGAGGGCGAATAAATTTTTACAAAATAAAGAATTGCACAGATACATCGTTTATAACAAGCACTACTATATACATATAGAAATAAGAAGAGCAAATTTAGAATTTAATCCGACATAAAGTTTGAAATAGTGCTGCACAATATATCGTTTCAGCATCGATATTGCAATATGCGAATGCACAATAGTCAAATCGCAGGATGCAATGTCAAACCACTATTATAATTGACCAACCACATTTCAAAACATTCGCGATTTGTCAGTGCAATGTTTGTCCATCAATGTATGAAACAAAAATGTTAAAAATTATGTGTGTTTTAGGGCCTGTGTAAGGATTTCAAGTCAGTTTAAAGTATTCAGGCATAGGAAATTACGTTTCTTTAAGAGAGATTAAATGGTCAGTACCTGGATAGGAGACCACATGGGAAAGCCATGTTGCTGCCAGAAGTGGTGTTAGTGAGACCAGCAGGGGGCGCTGAACCTGTGGTCTGAGTGGGTCCTAACACCCCAGTATATTGAAGGGGACTCTATACTGGTCAGTGATTGCTGTTTTTTGGATGAGATGTTTAACCGAGGTCCTAACTCTGTGGTCGTTAAAAATCCCAGGATGTCCCTCAAAAAAGAGTAGGGGTTTAACCACGGCATCCCAGCCAAATTTGCTCACTGGCCTCTGTCCATCATGTCCTCCTAACCATCCCCATATCATAATTGACTTCATCACTCTGTCTCGGTCTGATGTGCAGTCTGGTGCAATATGGCTGCCGTCGTGTCATTCAATTGGATGCTGCACACTGGTGAAGGATGAGGAGATTCCCCCCAAAAATGTGTAAAGTGCTTTGAGAGTCCAGAAAAGTGCTTTATAAATGTAAGGAATTTTTATTATTATTAATAATAGTTGTATTTGTGTGTAAGTATGTGATGAAGATAGTGTGCTTTTACAATTTAGTGCATCTGATAATTGCTAGACTTCCAGAAATCATAACGCACTGCGTATTTTATTTGTACAGTATCGTTACCCTACTGTATTTATCAATGTTTGGGATTTGGTTTACTATATTCCACGCAAATACCCTACGAAATCGTCCCGATGAACTTAAAATTATGAATTCTTTCCGAAAAAGACCTATTCATTTCATCTAGTGAAATTAAACTCATACTTATAACTCAACTTATAAAAGTAAGATATGGCAATGTTAGTTTTTCCAATATCGTGCAGCCCTAGTATAAAATGCATCCACCACATTTATGTTTAAATGCATTTGGCTGGCGAGGCAGTGGCGCAGTAGGTAGTGCTGTCGCCTCACAGCAAGAAGGTCGCTGGGTCGCTGGTTCGAACCTCGGCTCAGTTGGCGTTTCTGTGTGGAGTTTGCATGTTCTCCTTGCCTTCGCGTCGGTTTTCCTCCGGGTGCTCCAGTTTCCCCCACAGTCCAAAGACATGCGGTACAGGTGAATTGCGTAAGCTAAATTGTCCGTAGTGTATGAGTGTGTGTGTGAATGTGTGTGGATGTTTCCCAGAGATGGGTTGCGGCTGGAAGGGCATCCGCTGCGTAAAAACTTGCTGGATAAGTTGGCGGTTTATTCTGCTGTGGCAACCCTGGATTAATAAAGGGACTAAGCTGACAAGAAAATGAATGAATGAATGCATTTGGCTGGAGCTTTCATCCAAAGCCTTTTGCATTGCATTAAAGTTATACATTTAACCAGTTCATGCATTCCCAAGGCATCAAACCTATGACCTTGGCGCAGCTTTCTCTGCAGCTTGCATCAGAAATGAACAAATCCACACAATCAGGTAGAAGTGATAGCTTATTTAAACCCTATCGCCAAAGCAAATTCCTACTCCAAAATCTGTTTGTCTGATAAGAACTATTGTTTTCTCACTTGACAAAATCACAGTCACCTGCAAAGTTATTGTAAGGTTATTGCGTAACTCTGGTCTATGCAAACTATCACACACTCATACACACAACTGATGAAGTAATAATGGAGTGTCTGTTGTTAGTTTTGTGGCTATATCCTCCCACACACACATACAAACTCTCTCTCACTCACACACACACACAGATTCTCACAGTTTAAATGCACAAACCCAGGCCTTGCTCCTGCCAGAGTTTCCATGGTTACTACAATGCATGTTTGAAGTAAGTATTGCATTAGTGCCTTGGTATTTCTCTGCCTTCTCTCTCTTTCTCTCTCTCTTTCCAGCTCCACTCTGGTCTGCAGGGTTGTTAGCTGAAGGAGTGAGGAGTTTTACGCCGATGTTACTGAGACCACACAAGTGTCTAATCTCTGTTCGTTTTCCTGATGCTTCTTTTATCGCCGATCGGGAGTTTATAGTATGCCTTGGATATAAAGCTTCAGGTTTCATTTTTGAGAGACACAAAGGAAAACTCGGCCTCCTTTTAGGCTGTAAGAGGATGAGCGAAGGCTTTTGGGAGACAAGTGTTTCTACCATCCGAGAGCCAGCACGAAAGAACATTGGTTTCTGGTTGCGCATGTCTGATAGTTGCATGATTTTATGTTGCATGTCAGGGAAATAAGGAGAGAAAGAGTTTATTCGTGGTTGCCTTAGTGTGGTACGTTGAGCTCTTCGGATGAAGATGGTGAAAAAGCGCTGGCAGTTGCCGATGGGCAGCAGTCGTGAAGGCCCACCGCCACGCCATCCCATCTTCTCATCTACTCCTTGCCTTTCCTCCACAGCGCCCCCGCCTCCTAAAAGAGCACCCAGCACCACCCTCACCCTGAGGTCCAAAAGCATGACCGCTGAGCTCGAAGAACTGGGTAAGACACCTTCAAACAAACACGCATGCTAGTCCGTTTCTTTTATTTGCCAATTTTTTTAAGCATGCTAACAATTTAAAGACGTTTAGTATGCTGCACTCTAAACAATCTGGGCTGTTTTAACTCAACGTTGGGTCAAATGAGGACAGTTAAAGTCAATTATTAGCCCTCCTGTTTTTTTTCACCCCAATATGTGTTTAACAGAGCGAAGATTTTTTTCAACACATTTCTGAACATAATAGTTTTGATAACTCATTTCTTATAAGGGATTTCTTTTATCTTTGCCATGATGACTGTAGATAATATTTTACTAGAAAAAAAAAATAAAAAAAAATAATATATATATATATATATATATATATTGCTCAAGGGGGCTAATTATATTGACTGGTTTTTAAAAAAGTAAAAACTGATTTTATTCTTGCAGAAATAAAACAAATTTGACTTTCTCTAGAAGAAAAAATATTATAGGAAATACTGTGAAAAATTCCTTGCTCTGCTGTACATAATTTGGGAAATATTACAAAAGGAAAAGAAAATTCACGAGGGCGAATAATTTGGATTTCAAATGTATATAACATTCTCTAATCCAATTGTTGTTGTTGGAATAATTATTCAATTATATGTATGTTCAATAAAAAATGTCAGGAAAGGGTTTTATTTATTGTCAAAAATATTAGTAATTTGTTGGATACAAATTAATAATTAGAATTACAGAATTCTAATATCCCCAATGCAATGCAAGAATTACAATCAGGAGGTGCGCAACAGTTTTCATTTTCTGACTTCCACTTTTATAGGCAGCTGATATTAACAGGTGGAGTTTAGTGAAATTCGTCACTTGTCAATCATTCTCCTGTCCTCCATTGGCCGCACATCCATTGGCCATACGTTCACTTTTTCTATGAATTCTCTGCACAACATTAAAAGCACATGACTTCTCAACTGCACATATTCTATGTTCAGTTTTAACATATTTCTGCTCACAGGAAGTTTAGCTGCAGAACTCAAATTAATTTTAGACAATCAGGCCTTTGCATTTCTATCAGCTTCATCTACTTCTGCAAAAATGCTTCATTAGTATGCAAAGCATATTACACTTAACAGAAGTTCAGTTAATATTTCACCTTTAAGCAATACAAATACAATTGTTTAATGTAAAGAAAAAGAGACAAAAATAATGAAAAATATATTCATTTTCCAAACAATGTGTTGTCTATACTTGACCCAGCACTGAGTTAAAACAACCCATCATTTTTCAGAGTGTGTTAGCACATGAAACTCTCTGTGGTATAGGCTATACCTCTAAATTCATACTTCTGACCATACCTTCTAAAACAATCGCTTTACAATTGTCTTATTGCTATTTGTTTTAAATAAAATGTTATATGCAGTATTTATCATGCACCCTGCAGTATGAACTACACATTTTTGGCTTCAGTGTACAAAGATATGAAGTTGTTATTCGTATCCATGTGCAAGTAACACTTTAGTTTAGATCATAATAATAAATATATATTTTATATACATGTAATATGAGCAACATCACACGAGTAGCAGTGCAATAAGGCTGTATATCGGCACTGGTGGGAGACGTGTGTTGGCACGAGGTGTCCTGGTGTCCCACCAGGGATGATATACAACCATATGACACTGCTACGAGTGGGATATTGCATTTATACAGCAGTTCGATGGCATAATCTTTTAGAAACGAAAATCGTATGAGGAACTACTTTCTTCCACCGTTCATTCACATCTGCACCTGACCATCAGAACAGCAAAAACCGTTACTAATTCACCGTCAATTTAGAGCCAGTATTTGAATGATTCTCTAGCATAATATCTAACGCGATGACAAAACAGGTGATTTTGCTCACGTTTTAAGATTATAAGACTGAACGGCTACAGAGTCTACAGAGATTTCCCAGTATTTCCCTGTTGCAATCGGGATATCACAATAATTACCCCTAAAAAAGCCAAAGCAAAGCAAACACTACAAAATTACTATGGTATAAATACAGAACTACAACATGCAAAAGAGAGAGATCGACTTAGAATGTCAATTACCTGATTAATAATGATTTGTTTAGCTGTAGTTTGAAATGTACGCTGAAAAAAAATGCAGTTTTTCTACACTAAGAACTTGTTATGTAAGTCGCAGTGTTGTGTTTACATGAGGAACAGTTTGTTTGCAATATTGCCGAATTCCAATTATCAAGGCTTCAGGGTGCTTATCTACACTTAGTCATTAAGATTATGAAATATTTTATAGTTAAAATAGCTAATTTTACTTATCCTATTTCGTTAATTTATGCACACACACTCAGATGCAACATGTTCTTCTTTTGATGCTCTTTTTGTTGTTGTTGTTTATTTATTAACTGTGTCATCTCCCTCCTGCAGCCATTTGGGCTGTTCAAAACATCAGCTGTCCTTTTCTCTCTCGCTCAATCTGTGCTCCGAGTTTACTGAGTTCATTACACACATTCACACAACGTAACACACACAGACAGACATTTGCTGCTGTGAGACTTTAATGGAGAAGTGTTGTGTACATTTATTTCATGCTCAGCCTCTGCAAGGAGGAGGAGAGGAGGTGAGTTGTGTATTGAGGTTTTTAGAGACCCCCTAAAAAAAATCACAGCAAAATTCAACTTGTGTATGCAACCATCCTCACCTCGCTCATGCTAGAATGTGCTTTATTTAGCTCTCTTCCAAAACCTAATAAGCTGCCTACCCAACCTGCATTTTTAGGCTTTCTCAAAGCACAGGCAGCAACAGTATGCTGTTTTTATGAAATACCATGTTTTGGAGGGTAAACTGGTATTAAAATAACACTATTATTTATAAAATGTTATTGCTACAGTAATTGTTCATTCTTATTTGATTATAACACTCTTATACTGCAAAAACTTATTTTCTGTTTTTGAGTTTTTGTCTTGTTTCAAATCCAAATATCCACAAATTATTTAACCAAGAAGCATTAAATATTGTTTAGTATTAAAATATTGTTTAAAAGATGTATTGTTTTGTTTTTAAGATATTGTATTTTTTCAATAATCTATTAATATAGCAAAATAATAAATGTTACTGGGGTAAGTAAAAAAATAGCTGATCTGAAACAAGAATATTTTACATTGGTAGATTTTTATTTTTAATTCTTTTAGGAAAACTAACTTAATTTTGGCAGATTATTTCTGAAAACAAAACAATATTTTGTACTTGTCTAGAAATTGCATATTTATTTAAGAATACACACACACACACACACACACACACACAATACCTGACAAAAGTCTTGTCGCCTATCCAAACTTTAAGAAGAACAAATAATACCTTGACTTCTAGTTGATCATTTGGTATCAGAACTGGCTTATTTGAAAGGCAAATGCCTCTAGATTATGCTTATTTTACCAAAATAAAATATGGTCATGCCTTAATTATTAATTATGTAATTAGGACAGTAAGGTCTGACTTTGCTTAGACAAAAGTCTTGTCACTTAACACAAGTAATGTACAGTATAGAATATAAAGGCCTGGTGCAGTACGAAAGGAATGAATATTGTGCATGACTCCCATGAGCTTGGATGACCCTACATCCATACATCTCTGCAATGACCCCTACAAATAAAGTCATCTGGAAGTCATCTTGTGATGATTGGGATTCAGTTCAACAGATGATTCATCAGAAAAATCTAACTTCTGCCACGTTTCCAAATGATCAACTAGAAGTCAAGTTATAATTTGTTGCTTTTACAACTGAGATCAACGGCAAGACTTTTGTCAGGTAGTGTAGTAATAGATAGGGTTGATTGATTGATTGATTGATTGATTGATTGATTGATTGATTGATTGATTGATTGATTGATTGATTGATTGATTGATTGATTGATTTTTTTGGGATTGGATTATTTGGATTAAAATCAAGACAAAAACTCTACGAAAAGTATTTTTCACATTGTATCGTGCACCAATTGCAAACTCACTGTGAAAACTCCATTGTGAGTTTCATCTCATATGCTTCACGTGAGGAACGCTATTTGTGTGGCATGTGGACTTTTCCAAATGAGTCACTTATGAAGGTCTATTTCAGTTTGGATGCTGCCTTAGGGACCGTTCACACAGGATGCATTCTGGGCTCCATCTGTGTTATTTTTTAATTGTTTTTCTTTGTAAACATCAACTACCTTGCTTAGCTTCAAAATAACATTAAAGAAATCATCTGGTGTGAATGGCACTGCTAAAGTAGATAGGCAGATCTGTAGATTGGAACTGAGCTTTTATACTTTGTCATGCTACACCATTTGCCAAAAATAATTGATGCATTGTGTCATTGTGTTAACGCACTGTCATCCATCCATCCATTTCCAACTGCTTATATGGGCTGGGTTATGGGGGGCAGCAGTCTTCCCTGCTATGTCATTAACATTTCATATTTACTTTGACTTTTTTTTAGTTCTTACGTGTCATCAAATTAGATCCATATTACCTGAGTACATAAAGCTTCTCGTATGCTTTCTTGTATGGATGTGTAATGTAATGTACTGTGTGTTGTATCTATGTTTGTGTTTAGAAAGGTTAGATGAGATTTTGGCCTCTCAGGAGACAGTACTGAGGCCAAAGGTGGAAGCAGACTATAGAGCCGCCACGGTGAAGCAACGTCCTACCAGTCGCCGAATTACACCAGCAGAAATCAGTGTAAGATACAGTATGTGCAAACACATGGAAATTATCAGTGGCACTTCAACTGTGCATATACTTTGTTTTGATACAGTAGAGACCAAAATAGTTTTTGCTTTACTGCTGGTTTAATGTACTGCCATTAAACTCTTAGTTTAGGGGTGTCAAACTCAATTTGGCGGAAGGCCATTTAAGAGACTGACAAATGATAGGAGGGTCATCTTACTATCTGGAAGTGATGCTTGTAATCACGTGAAGATCAGTACCGTGCAGAGACTGACGGGCGGTTGAGGGAGGGAGTATTGAGAGACAATCGCAGGGTGGGTGATGTCTGGTTAACGGTCGGGAAATTGGGTGGGGGTGCTTGTGGAAGGGCCTGTGGGGCTGGTTGATGATTGCGAACTGAGGTTGGGGGGGTACTGGTTGACGGAAAAAGGTGGGAGGGGGGTTCCGCAAACTGAAGAGTGGCCAGAAGGGTTTGTTGATGGTCATGAGCTGAAGGTTGAGAGACACTGAAAAGCAAAAATTGGGGGGGTGCTAATAGTGTTTGGGGGTGTTGGCGTTTGACGATTGCGAATTGAAGAGCGGGCGGGGGGGTCTGGTTGACGGTCGCGTGAAAAATCTATTATTTTTGGTAGGGGGGCCAGGGCCGGTTGACGATCGCAAACTGAAGAGCGGGGGGAGGGGGATAGAGACACGATCGTGAACTGAAGAGCAGTATGAGTCCCCTGCCTTGGATCAGTGATTCTCAAAGTGGGGGTCGGGACCCACCAAGGGGTCGTAGGACAATGAAGGGGGGGTCGCCTGGTGATTTCAAAAAATCTATTTAGATTTAATAAACCATAAGAACTACCATAATTTATCCATAACCTACTGAAGAGAAAAAAAATAGTCGTTTATAGTTAGTATATAGTTACTATAGTAGCTTATAGTTACTAGTTCTGTTGGATTGCGACCCCTGAGGTAATTACATTATATTAAAGACACGGCAATAGCGTCAGATGCAGCAGCTTGACTTTATAACACCAGGTTAAATGTTCTGGCCCGTTTACAGCACTGACATCCATAAAGAAAATAAATGAAGAATAGACTTCAGTCAATTGTGGTGTGTGCGCCATTGCATGCAAGGTTTCTGTATTTATAACCACCTCAGAAAATATTGGGGGTCGCGGGTCACTGGCATTGTCATTTTGGGGGTCGCGGGTTGAAAAGTTTGGGAACCCCTGCCTTAGATAAACAATAGCTAACACCAACTCTGTTATTATATGATTATTTTTTATGTCATTGGTAAATGTTTTCTCTGTTTTTGTGCAGTCTCTTTTTGAGCGACAAGGACTTGCCCTTCATGGTGCTCTTCACCCAGCGTTGGAAAAAGCCCACATGCAGCTGCCGAAAAGCATGGCTCGAACAAAGTCTTTTGGTAAGCCTTCATGAATCTTTTACATACAACTCTCAAACAAGCTCCACAGTTTGAAACAGCTGAAAAATATTATTCTCTGGTTTCTTCTATCTGTCTGTGCTTTCTTAAATATCAGCGTATTGAAATGCAGGACTTTGACACACAATAACGATCAGAATTTAAAGGAAAGTTTAGATGTGAATTATGTGAATTATTGTTATCATTCAAGCTCCACCAAACCCAAATACATTTCTATCTGTCTAAATGTGCAGGAGCCACCGAAGAGGATCGACTGTCTGCCCTGGCAGCGGAGCACAGATTTCCACGAAGCTCCTCCATGACGGACAGCCTGAGAGACAGCCATAGTATCCCTCCACCTCCTCAGATGGCTCCCCCACCTCCTCCATCGCTTTACTATCTAGATACTGGACCCCCTCCTTCATTCTGCCCACCCCCTCCCCCTGGCCGCCTTCACGACCCCAGCCGTTCCAGTTTTAAACCAGGCTCTGAGCCGAGACTACATGCATTGCCTCAGACAATGTCTGCTGAGCTGTATGAGCCGCCTCGCCATGCCTCCCACATGGAGAGGCAGAAGAAAGCCCGCTCCATGATCATCCTGCAGGATTCCTCCCACCTCCCTGTGGAGCCTACTGACATCCCCAGGCCAGGTCCTGTCTCAACTCCGCCTGAGAGAATCAAGCGGAAAGGCAGAATCATAGATAACCCCTACGCCAATGTGGGTCAGTTCAGCGTGGGTATGTTCACGCCAACTCCCAGCAAGCCACAACGGAGGAAGAGCCCACTTGTTAAGCAACTGCAGGTGGAAGATGCTCAGGAAAGAGCCTCACTAGCATTGGCATCCATCCATGCGAGGGAGCACTCTCCTTCTGGGCGCCTTGCTGCCCAGCACACCAGCAGGTCTGACTTCTTTCATCAGCAGCAGCAGCTGTTGCATGAACGCAGTCAAGCTCATGCTGAAGGACTGTTGCAAGGAAAAGGACCTTTTGCTGCTGCCATTGCTGATGCTGTGAAGGACAGAGAACGTCGTCTGGAGGAGAGGCGGAAATCTACAGTCTTCCTATCAGTGGGAACTATGGAGGGCAGTTCAGCACCACCCCCCGAGGCCCCCTCGCTCACACCATCCCGTTCTGTTGATGAACGAATGCTCACTCGTGAACTCGGTCAATTGCCTCCTCCCGCCTTGGCGTTACGTCCCTCACCTGGGGGCACCACCTTCATTCACCCACTGACAGGTAAGCCCCTGGACCCCAACTCTCCATTGGCACTTGCGCTGGCCGCAAGAGAACGGGCATTAACTTCCCAGAGTCAGTCCCCCTCAAGCAGCCCTGAGCCCAGAACTAAACATGAAACTGCTGGAGGGGTACTGTATATGGAGACCCAGACCAAAGAGGCTGAGCGGTCAGAGGGTGAGGGTGGGTTTGCTTCACCTCCCTTTTCTCCTGCAACAAAAAGAATTTACGAGACCTCCGTCCCCACTAGCAAGATTCAGTGGGGAAGTCCCATATCTACCAGGAAAGAGTTAGAAACAAGGACAGAAAGGAAGGAGGAGAGGAAAATTGAGGACAAAAAGAGTATGATCATCAGCATCATGGACACGTCTCAGCAGAAAACTGCTGGGCTTATCATGGTTCATGCAACGAGTAATGGGCAGGCTGTAGGGCCCAGTCCAGAGCGCAGTGTCCCTTCCCCTAAGGGGATATTGTCAGAAAGCCCCAAACCCATGTTGGCCGAAATTAAACGTGCAAAGTCCCCTGGTCCCGAAGCTCCTTCGATATCCACCCCACCACCCACCGCAGCTCCAACTTCCCAGCCCCCTCCCAGCCCATCCTCAGACAAAACCTTGGCTCAGGGTAGTTCTGAGGAGGATGCCGAACCCTATACAGTCACCTTGCCACCTGCCATGCTATCCTCCAGTGACGAGGAGACAAGAGAGGAGCTTCGTAAAATCGGTGTGGTTCCTCCGCCGGACGAATTTTCAAATGGCCTTCTTGCTAAGACTCCTGAAACTGCAGTACCTCCTGCTCCCACGTTGACGCAGACAACTCCTTCTACCTTGCCCTCAGCTCCACCCGCTCCACCACCCCCTGCTCCTTCAGCAGCGGTCGCTGCAGCAGCACAGGTCCCTGCTAGCAGTGGCCTGCAAGCAGCCTCAGGGAAGCCATCTGAGTCCCACCTGGGCCCAGAGTCTGCTGCTGACTCCGGGGTGGAAGAGGTAGACACTCGTAGCTCCAGCGATCACCACCTGGAGACCACGAGCACCATCTCTACTGTCTCCAGCATGTCCACACTGTCCTCGGAAAGCGGCGAGCCAACAGACACTTACACCACCCACGCAGATGGCCAGACGTTCATTCTTGATAAGCCGCCAGTGCCTCCAAAGCCAAAGCTCAAGTCCCAGCTCAGCAAGGGCCCGGTGACGTTCAGGGACCCCCTGCTCAAGCAGTCATCTGATAGCGAACTGCTCTCACAGCAGCATGCGGCTGCACTGGCTGCTGCTGCGGGAGCCTCAGGCCCGGCCAGACCCCGCTACCTCTTCCAGAGACGCTCTAAGTTGTGGGGGGACACAGTAGAACCCCGTCCGCTTTCGGGGGCAGAGGAAGGCAAGCCCACTGTGATCAGCGAGCTCAGCTCCCGGCTGCAGCAGCTGAACAAGGACACACGCTCACTTGGGGAAGAGCCACTTGGAGCTTCACTTGACCCCGGACGAAAATCCCCCGTGGTCGGTCCAAGGTAAAGTGCGAATCTTACAGGAGAGCATTCAATCAGCAATTTTTCAAAATTTCTATGAAAAATGCTGATTTTGTCTGTTTATGATCCAAATGCAGTTTTCTATTGGTTAAATGGCACTGAGAATATTTACCCTGTGCAGTTATTTTTATCAAATATGATTAACAGTGATTAATTGAAACTAATAAATCTGTAATCGTTAATATGGAATAAAAAGAACATAAACAAGATCCATTAAACATTCTCATAAACATCATAAAGAATGCCAAAGAATGTAATGCAGACATGATTAAATGGGCAGACTTTTATCTTAAATAAAGCAAATTAACATCTTTAACCTTTGGAACGTGTTTAGAAGAAATGAAGTGGTAATGTCTAACATGCTTTCTTCATTGAGATGTTTGGAGCCCAAGAACAATCTCAGCATTCGATTTCCAATGGTAAGTAACATAGGATACCCTGATTTTACCAACCAACCATAGACTATGCGGATGCAAAAATACACATAAATAAGACACAGGAACAGTTTGAGATAAACTGATTAACTGGAATAAATAAGCTTCGTATAAAATCAGAAATGTAATGATTGTTTTCTGTCTTGATTTTTAAAGCACCAGCTATGTATCATTTTGCTTATATCCTCAAATACAACTGAAGTCCTTTATATCCCAACAGATGTGACAACGACATGGAAGACAGTAAACCTTAGCTTTTAGCCACTAGGGTAAATCAAATGTCATTCCTTTTATTTTCTATCCTTTGACAATCCACTAATCACACATTCAATCACTTTTGCTGGCATTGTTCTGGGTTTTATTAATCACTCCTGCAGGTTCTGTGTTCCCTTGTCCACCCTGGCAAATCAACTAAAAGTACAGTGTACACCAAGTATAATATATTAAGGGGCCATTTACACAACAAGGTTTTCAGCCAAAATCAGTAAACTTTTTATGCAATTTGCTTGTTTGTTTTCAGGACAATAGCATTTTGGATACTGAAAACACATCAATTTTAAAATAAGAAGTAGATTTTTTAGAAAACCCGCCTTTTCCTTTCTGTATAAACACCCCAAAATGGGAATTTTGAATAGTATGTGTTAGGTAAGGAGACATGCACAGTACATGTCAATTTTAAATACAAACGTGATTAAACATACACAATAGTGGCAGAGTGCATGGTACCATTGTGGCTGGTAAAAAGTTTGCTAATCACTTCTTCCACAAACTGTGGATTTTCCTTACCGATATTACAACAAACAATGGAAACGAATCCAACATAGGCTCATTCTGAAAACGTAGCTCTATATACATTTCTGGAGATCGTGAATCATGTAGCCAGATATACGCATGGCTGCTTTTAATTTTTTTTTAAAAACGCTACAGAGTGGTATGATGCCGTTCCTTTTTGCGCTTACCAGATGACCGTTTACCTCCATATGGATCATTTTCCGACTTCTACCAGTTTGTCCAGTTAGCTCGCTATGTACATCCGTGGACTTAAGGTGCTGAGAGGAGATGACAACGATGAATCCAGTGAAGAAAGCAGGTAAGACAAAACTAAAATAAACAAGTAAATAACAGGGTATAACAGAATGTGGTAAAACGTAATCAGGCAAGAGCTTTTCTTTTTCTGAATTGCTTTTTAAATTTGTTGGTTGGGTTTATTGAAGTGGGTGGGCGACGCAATTTGTGCTTTTTAAAATACTATTAGTTGGGTTTAGGAAAGGGGGAAGGGTGGGTTAGTCGATCGGTCAGTCGAGTCATTCAGTCAGGCAAACAGTCAGTCGACAGCGCCCTCTGGTGGATTTAAAAGAGTAGAGCAGGCACTCGTGAGAGAAATTTGAGATCTCAAAAAGCGTACACATTGGCCTCTGGTGGATTCTCAAAAACAGAACCTGCAAAAAAGAACAGAACCTTCCTCCTGGGACGTATTTGACGGTCTCCAGAAATGTAAATAGCGGCGCGTTTTTAGAAAAAGCCTGGTTTGAACGAATCATATACACACTGCAAAGTTTAATCACACCAATGACACATTGTCACTTCCTTAAATGTTGTGTTTACTGTTTACTACCGTGCATACGAATTACAGTGTTTTTTAAGGTTTTTTTGTTTAATATGTGTAAATGTGGATAATTTTTTAAATGTTGTGTATACATAAAAAAGCTTAATGTTAAACGTTTGTTTTTGGCTACATCATTGTTGTGTAAATGTAGCTTAAGTGTAACCATTTTGGCCATGCAGCTTGTTCAGTGTTTGATTCAACTCGAAAACGTCCTCAGTGACATGCTGTAAAACATTGTTTAAACTGGATTTGAAGTCCCTCTGTACATTGCCATTTGGGTGTTCACAAGGTAACAGATGGCTTCAGGGCATGCACCATCTCAAGCTTTGTCCCTTCACCTTCCAAATCTAACATTGTGAGCCTTTCCCTGTGGCCTACTCCTCTGTGGCACTGTGGTAGCAGTATGTATGTGTGACGTTGAATGGTATGAATATGTTGTTTGCATCCAGTTACTCCTTAAAGTCGCCATGAAATCAAAATTTGTTCTTCTTATTTTTGCATTAATAGTTGTGCTCATTATAAATTAGGTATCTGTGCACTTCATTGTTTTGTAAGGGTGTGCTCATACTTGGTACAGTTGCCTTAAACCATGCCGAAGCGCGCTTGTCCCCCCTCCTGTCTCCACTGATGGCCTGCTCTAACACAGCATTTTGCCTTCCGATTCAATGATGCGACTGTTCATTTTAACAGAAGAGAAGCGCTCTCGCACAGTACAATGGAGATTGCTTTAGTTATATCGTTTTGTATTATTTTTTTAGTAATTTGGGATGCAGCGACACACAGTCAAATATTTTGCCGAACAGATCCACAACTTTTGACACTCATAAATTATCATAAAAGCCATCCTGTTGCAGGTATTAGGAGGTTTGCTGAAGGTGCAGCTGACATTCAGGGGAGGTTTGCATATTTAATCAACTATGACAGGTCGTGAAAAGTAAGAATGATTAATAAAAGTGACGTTGCGTCTTCAGTTGTGCACTCAGGCACCATGCCAAAGCCCAACCGAACCACACCTTGCCACACCTCTTCCAACCAGACCAGGGCCAGTCAACTGAACCGTGCCAGGAGCACTCACACTTGTCAAATGAACCGGGAACTGTGCCCGGGCACGGTTTGGAATAGCATAGTGTGAGTGCACCCTCACACTATTATGATTATGAGAGCAAAATTCATTTGCTCTCATAATCTTTAAACAAATTCCTTCTCTCCTCCCTCAAAATGACTTTTCTTTACTTCTGGTCGCATGGAATGCCTTTAGGGCAGGGCTATCAGGGTGTGTCCTGTTTCTGCCCTGCTTTTATTCATTTATAAATCTTCCTTCATTTTGTTAGAAACATCCATCTTCTGATGATTCAATTCAATTCACCTTTATTTGTATAAAACTTTTGAATGTAGATTGTGTCAAAGCAGCTTCACATAAAAGATCAAAGTAAATGGTAACGGTGTAGTTCAGTTTTCAGTGTTTAAGTTCAGTTCAGTTTAGTTCAGTTCAGTGTGGTTTAATAATCACTACTAAGACTCCAAACACTGTGGAGCAAATCCATCGATGCGTAGCTCTTCCGATCCCAAACCATGCAAGCTAGTGGCAACAGCAGCGAGGAAAAAACTTCATCAATTGGCGAAAGTGAAGGAAAAAACCTTGAGAGAAACCAGACTCAGTTGGGCACGATCATTTCAATTTCTCTGCTGGCCAAACGTCTTGTGTAGATTTGCAGTCTCAGCGGCGGAGGCTGAAAGCTGGACCTCAGTGAAGACTCAACAGTCCCTGGAACATCCCAGGACTCAGTCTCATGCTCTTCACTCCTCCATGACCACCACTGCAGCTGCTCAGGATATGGCCTGGTCCAGGATATGGAAACCTTGGGATCATATTGTCGCTGGTCTTGGATCGAATCAAGGACTCTGCATAGTCTGAGGGCCTCGGAATGAGTATCCCCAGGTGGAAATATAGAATAAAGAGAATAAATAGAGTAGCTGCTGTTCATAGTGTATATTAACAAGATGCAGAAACCTGTGTGGATGTATCATATAGCTAAGTGATGCACTGAGTGTATGTTTTACTAAAAAGATTGGTCTTTATTCAAGTTTTGAACTGCGAGGGTGTGTCTGAGCCTCAGACGTCATCAGGAAGGTTATTCCAGTGTTTAGGAGCCATAAATGAGAAGGCTCGACCTCCTTTACTTGACTTTACTATTCTAGCTACTACAAGAAGCCCTGAGTTTTCAGATCTTAAAGAGTGAGTTGGATTGTAGTGAGACAGACGGTTGGTTAGATCAACAGAAGCTAGATTGTTTAAAGCTTTATAGGTAAGAAGCAATATTTTAAATGTAATACAAAACTTAACTGGCAGCTAGTGTGAGGAGGATAAAATTCAGTCACTTCCCAGTGGACGAAATCATGCACCACACTATTTTTTACTTAATTCAGGACCTTTTCGTTTGGATGTACATCACGATATGAAACACAAATGACAGCCTTAACTTTCATTTCATGGCGACTTTAAAACTCATGTTTGTTCACTTTATTTGAATGTAGAAATAAAAGTGTATTCAAATAAACCAGCTTTTGACTGGATAATAAAGCATTAAACTAACATAATCATCACATGACTTCATCATAGTCTCTCATTCCTATCTATGTAGCCATGTTAAAAATGTAAACATTCTTTCCACTTCTGAGCATTTTATTTCTGTAGTTTTGGCGTCATTTTCATACATCAACCATGCTAACACAATGATCACTCTGGCTTCTACTTAGAACAAAATGTTGCATTGATTGTTTATTTTTCATCCATAATTGTTCAGTTTGTTTTGTTGCTCAATTTTTGTTGGTCGGTTTGACTGGAATGCCACCTTACCCCAGACGAAGCACTTGTGGAAAAAATTAATTACATATTATAATTTTAAAAAAGTAATCGGTCATTTATAGAGTCTCCATATGTGTGTGTTCCACTATTGAAAGCTGACGTCTGGGGATAGCTGTGCTCTGGTCTGTGTCGCTATGCATTTGGTTTGCATTGGATTGACATTGTTGAGGATGTGAAGTGTGTTTGGTGTTTGTTTTTGTTCTGTCATGGACTGATGCTAACCGACCGCTCTCTCTCTCTCTCTCTCATTGCTCCCTCTCTCTTTCTCTCTCCATCTCTCTCTCTCTCTCTCTCTCTCCTATCTCTATTTCTCTCACTATCTCTCTCTTTGCATGCTACGCTGCTCTGTCTAGAGCTGAATCTGAGGCTAAGCCCAGAAGAACCGGGCACCTGTGTAAGTGCGCATGAATCATCTCATCTCTCTTTTTTCTGTCTGTTTCCACGAGCCCTGATCATCATCCACCCCTTCCGTTATGTTAATTTGGCCAGACCCCCCTTTTAAACCCAGCTTTTTCATGTTCCTCATTGGCTGCTTAATACTCCTCAATCATCAAATTACATCCCCAATAGGATTTCAAGAATAGGACAATAGTTTGTGTTTAGAGTTTACGTATAGGCTGCTTTAACAGGCATAATGATCAGAGCTTGCATATATATTGTTAAATGAATTGGCTATAGTATATGTAGGATATTGTAGTGAATGCATTCTTTAATTACATGCGTAAGCACCAGTAATGCAAGTAATTTGACGGTTGAGTCTGTCGTCTTCTTTTGTTTCCATGTGTTGCATGTTTTGTTGTGCTTTCAGTGTTCGGCTTGCAAAATGTGTAATTTTTTCAGTGTTATGCATTTAATAGCCATTTATTCAAACTCATGTAACCACCCTAGTTATTACCGTTGGTTGTTAACTAAGTAATTACGTCTGATTTTGCTTCAGTGGATACGGATATGTGCAGAAGTGAAAAAACACTTAGAATTTGCCTAATGATATTTATGATATTTGTAAGCATCAAAACAACTTCGCCCACAACCCAACAAGACCACGCCCCTTTTGATATCATCACTACAGTAACTAGACTTACGCTCTCAGAAATAAAGGTACGCGAGCTGTCACATTTGTGCTTAAAGGGTTCATATTGGTACCTCAAAAGTATATATTAGTACCTACAAATTTTAAGAGGAACACTTTTGTACTTTTTAGGTACTAATACGTACCCTTCAGGTAGTAATATGGACCTTTAAGGTACAAATGTATACCTTTTAAAAAGGTACCTCCCCAGTGACATCTTAGAGTGTAATCACTACTGCAGTCTAAAGAGTTTATCAAATATTACTTAATGCACCTTTCCACTTTTAAACACTCTCAGTCTTGACAAGCTTAATAAATTACATTTATTGTGTATATGCATTTGTTTCTTATTTTAATATTTAATATTAAATTAATGTATAAATATTTTTCTAAAACTACAATAATATCTGCCTATTTAAATTAAAATTAAGCTTATTTTTTAAATTGTTTGTTTTACATCCTGAAACTAATCTTGGATTATTTAAAGTAAACTAATATTTTAAATTAAGAATTCTTACGTATTTTAAATTAAGCTTATTTTTGATCATTTTCCAATCAAAATATCTAGACATGCTGGACACAACAAATTTATTACAGAAGCTTTTTTTGTGTATTTTTGTGTATTTTGTTTGACTGTATTTAGCTTAACTTTAGTTCAGACTTTATTTTTTTATTTAAGTTACATTGCATCTACATGCCAACAAATTTTTTATTAGATTATAAGTAGACTGTTAGGTTGGGGTTAGGGTGTGTAAGTTGACAGGTACTTGCAAAGTTTCTTATAGTCAGTTAAATGTCTGATGAAGGAGCAGTATGAGCAGATATTAAGCAGAAAGTCTACTAATACTTAAATGGACCATCAAAATAAAGTGTACCCTTATTTAATTCAATAAGTTTCAGTTTTGTCAATGCATTAGTTCATAATTAATTAATTGCAATGATTATTAATTAATGTTACATTGAAATAAGAAGAATTCAAAGATGATTCCTTGGATCCTTGGATTTACTAACATTTTTATTAAATTAAGCGGATGTAAACGATTTATTTGGGCTGAATTCAAGCAAACAAATTAAGTTGAACATTACTAAATTTAATTTGCTTATTTAAATTTAACCCATATTAATTGTTTGCAACTTTTTTGCAGACATCATTTTTTTTCAGTGTAGATAATAGTCCCTAAATAATATTAACAGTACAACCTTTGATTTTAATATTGCATTAGTAAATGTTGCAGTATTTCAGTTCTTCAGAAGTATTTTTCATGGCTTGCTGATGTTAACTAATATTAAAAAAAAAGATGTTTACTTCTTTGATAGTTAAATAAGAAAAAATCTTTGCAATATCTACCAATCCATGATAGATATTGCAAAGATTAATGTCATCTTTGAAAAATACCAAATGGATTTTAGCTTCAAGTAAATCTAAGAATTTTTGATTTTTCACTGGAAAATGAGTCAAAAAAGATATTGAAATATGTCATCATTAATAGTATAACACTATAAACCCTACAAACTAAAATCTAAAAATTCAGCAATTCAGATTTTCTTTCACTCGATGATCATATAAAGAGTTTTCTTATTCTTTACTCCACAGGTAATACTTTTGCACTAAACACATAAATAAAGCATCTCACTAACACAATTTTAAAGGGATCGTTCACCCAAAAATGAAATGCTGTCATCATTCCTGTACTTGTTTCTTCTGTTAAACCCAAAACAAGATATTTTCAAGAAAGCTGAAAACCGGTAACCATTGACTTCCATAGCATTTTTATTTCCTACTATGAAAGTCAATGGTTAATGCTTCAAACATTCTTCAAAACATCTTGTTTGTGTTCAAAAGAAGAAATACAGCAAGCATTTTTTGTTTTTGATGTGAATGTCTAGTAAACGTCTAAACATAGTCGTCTTGGCTAAATTTGAGCTGTCAGTGAAAATTTAATGGACTTATAAGAAAAGACTAAAACTAGACTAGTCATTAAATAAATAGAAATCAATGACTACACATATAAAGTCTGTCTATTTGACGACTAGTCTAGTTTTGGACTATTCTTAGACCGCCCAAGTTTAGCCTTGTTTTAGTCAAGCTACCTTCGTTTAAAATTGTGTGCTGGGAAGACACTTATAAAAGTTTACAACCACTTGAAGGTGAATAAATCCTAAATGTTCATTCTTGCTTGAACTATCCCTTTGATGCGTTTTCCACATCTATCTCCAAGCGTAGACTCCTAACATAGCTGATGCTATTACTAAAATTGGGTTACAGAGAGACCATTTCTCTAAAAACATTTTAATTTGACTTTCACTCTCTGCCCCCTTCCATTTCTCTTTCTCCCCATGTTTTCAACTTTTAGACTCTTCAGCAGTTTGGGAGAGCTCCATACTATCTCTCAGAGAGGCTACGGCACCACCTACACCATCAGACCAGGCAGCCGCTACCCAGTAACCCGCAGGACTCCCAGTCCCGGATCCCCGGACCGCTCAGATCCTCTAGGACCCATCCGGGGTTTCGGCCTGGCCACGTCACCGATCACACCGCCCACCATCCTTAAGTCGTCCAGCCTCAGTCTCCCTCACGAACCGAAAGAAGTGCGTTTCGTCATGAGGAGCTCCAGTGCACGGAGTCGCTCACCCTCGCCGGCCCCTTCGCCAGGCATGACCTCCCCGCTTCTCACCCTGCGGCCGTTCCACCAGAAACCCCTTCATCTGTGGAACAAGTACGACGTGGGAGACTGGCTGGCCAGCATTAACCTGGCCGAACACCGGGATCGTTTCCAGGAGCACGAGATCGAGGGCTCCCATCTGCCTGCTCTGACCAAGGAGGACTACGCTGAGCTGGGTGTGACACGTGTCGGTCACCGCATGAACATTGAGCGCGCCCTTAAACAGCTGCTGGAGAGTTGACCACGCGCCTCCCTCTGCCTGTAGCTAGTCTCAACACGGTTTACTTTTAAATTCCTACTTTATTTCATTTGGGGGGGGGGTTCTTGTGATTTCAGAGCTTTCAAGAAACACTCTATGTTTTTTTTTTGGAAGTGACCTGAAGTTAACAGTTGGGGTTTACCATTTTTGAAGCCTTTTAGCTGATCTCTGGGTCTGGCAGGAGCACTTTTAGTTTAGCTTAGCATAGATCATTGAATTGGATTAGACCATTACCATCTTACTCAATAAAAAAAACTGAAAATTATTTTTAATAAGCTTAATATTTTAAGCTTCTCGCTCAAAAATGACCAAATAGTTTAAACATTTTCCTTTTTAAAGCTTGACCTTTCTGTAGTTAAATTGTGTATGAAGACTGACGGAGAATTAAAAGATGCTATTTATTAGGTCAGTAAGTCTAAGAACTAATGGCCTAATGCTATTTAATCACACATGCTAATCAGTTTACGAGTTATCCAGAGTTAATAGTTGGTGTTTACCATTTTTGAATATTTTAAGCCAACTCCGGGTCTGGCAGGAGCACTTTTAGCTTAGCTTAGCATAGATCATTGAACTGCATTAGACCATTAGCATCTCACTTAATAATTTTCCTCCGCTATAGTTACATCGTGACTGATGGAAAATGAAAAGATGCTATTTATTAGCTCAGTAAGTCTAGAAACTATATCGTCATTTGGGTGTAATGATCAAGGAACTTTGCAGTTGTACCATGGCTGCAGCAGGAGAAAGAATATTACACAGTGTCTGAAAATGCTGCAGCTGCAGCCATGGTGGAGCAACAAAGTTCCTTGATTATTAAACGATGCTAATGGTCAAATCCAACTCAGTTACCTATGCTAACATTTACAAGTCACCTACAGTTAACAGTAAGGTTTTATAATTTTTTTTATCAATTTAGCCAATCTCTGTGTCTGGCGGGAGTACTTTTAGCATAGCTTAGCATGCATCATTAAATTGGATTGGATTATTAGCATCTCACTCAATAAAAAATTCAAAAACGATTTTTATTATTTTTTCTATTTAAAGGTTCTGTCAGTGCCAATAGCCCAGTAGTTAAGTGCGCCGACATATAACATGGTAGAGCTGAAGATCTTTGCCCAATCCTTATAGGACGGGGGTGGGTTTAGGTTTAATTTCTATCGTTTCAGGTGGGGTCGGGCCGGGCCTGGCTTGTGCAACAAATGAACCATGTGATGCGTTTCGATTAAGTAATCAAATCGATTGTTACAACATTAAAATCTATCCCTGCAAAAGTAAAACAAATGATGACTGAGAAAGAGTTAAAAAGAGCGAATTTTGACTGCGGTGAGGCCCGCCACCAGTTCAAAAAGATTAGTCATTCTAGCCACCAAGGTATTTCGGCAGTCACTCATGCACTGTGTATTACGGTAGAACGCTAAACAGCAATGTATGTGCAGCAAGCTGACAGGGAAGATGACGAGCCCACTCGCTGCATTGAAACTGCTGTCATGGAAAATGAAATTGATGTTCTTGGCTGGTAAAAGATGAAAGAACAATCCTACCCAAAACTTGCAAAATTAGCCAGATCAGAATGCTTCTTGGCCAGTAGCAGCAGCACTGAAAGGGTGTTCGGTGCTGCTGGACGCACCATCCTAAGCGAAGATCTGCGCTAAAGCCAATTAAAGTGGATTCAATAATGTTCCTCCACAAAAACACGTAGCCTAATCTTGATGAGTAAAGGGTTTTTAAATTATAAATAAATATTAATTAAACCATTAAATCATAACGTAGACAGAGTATAACGTTGGCATTAGGCTATTCTTTTAATATTCAGCTTATTCGTCACCTTAAAGCCAGCTTGTGAAGAGAAGTGGTGAAACAAATCCCACAGAGCCTTTATCTTAATTTCTTTATTGCCAAATACCCGTCATAATTTCACATGTATTTTTATTTAATTTGTTAAGAAAGACTTATTTTTATTGGTGTATTGGCCAATTTAAAGGCTAAGTGTATGTACCCAGGCCTATTTAGAGTGCTGAGATGATACGATGTTACAGAGGACTTATTTTATTTCTTTGTTCCAACTTCCAAGTGGCCTATAGCCTACGTTTGCTACGAATAAATAATGTTAAAACATATAAATGACTCATTCTCAAAGGCAAAAGAGCTGTGTGCATGAGCACATTTGAATAATGTCGGGCAATAAACGGGTTCGGGCTTTATGAAGCTGTCAATCAAAATGTACCTGTCGGGCTCAGGCCGAATTCTGTCAGACTTCAGGCGTAATTTTTATGGCCCGATTAAAGCTCTATAACATGGTGGTGCTCATAGCGACCTGAGTTCGACTCCCGACTCGAGGTCCTTTGCCAACCATTTCCCTCTCTCTGCTCCTAATACATACCTGTCTGTAACCTTGACTGTCCTATCCAAACTAAATGTGAAAAACCCCTTAAAAAATTATTATTAAAAAAAAAATATTGACTCTTCTGTAGTTACACAGACTGTGTACTCAGACTGACAGAGAACAAAAAGTTGCTTTTTGGGTCAAGAAGTCTAGGAACTATACTCTCGTTTAGGTATAATAATCAAGGAACGTTGCTGTCGTACTATGGCTGCAGCAGGTGCAATGATATTACAGTGTCTGAAAATAGTCCCCAGCTAGGTAACTAGGTAATGGCGTGCTGTAGCCATGGTACCACAGCAAAGTTCCTTGATTATAAAGCCAAAGTGAGAGTATAGTTCCTATATTGATCTAGAATAAAGCAACTTTTTATTTTTCATCAGTCTTAGTACACGATGTAACTATAGAAGAGTCAAGCTTTAAATAGTAAAATGTTTAAACTATTTAATCATTTTTGAGCGAGATGCTAATGGTCTAATCTGATTAAATTATCTATGCTAAGCTAAGCTAAATGTGCTCCTGCCACACTCGGAAATCGGCTGACATAAACTCTATGGGATTTGTAAAATGAGCCTATTTTCCAAAAGAAAAAAAACATGGTGTTTCTTTAAAGCTGAAATGTGCACCTTCAATACTTTCTCCTAATTCTTCTCAAAACTTTGCTTTTTTTTTTTTTTTTTTTTTGAGCATCCTAACCAATCTGACAAACCAACATTTATCCGGGAAACAATTTCAACACTTACTTTTTTTATTAATTTATTTTTTTGTGCAGAAATCACACACTTTAGCTTTAAATTATCGCACTTTTCCTAAATCCATCATCAGTGGAGTGGGTGTTTGCTTTATGCTGTTTTTGTAGCACTAAGCCCCTCCCATCTCTGCCAGCAGCCAATCACCTGGGTGCTGTGTGTATTGGAGGGGCTGTGAATTTAACGATTGCACTGATTTTGTTCAAACTGCGCTCAATTCTGATCTAGAATTGACTGATCAAATCGTATTTGCTTGTTCAGACAGTATAGTCAAATATCCAAGTCGTTGGGCAGTGCACCGACATGTTGCTTTGGCGTCCCAAGTTCAAATTCTGGTTTCCCCAACTTTTGTTCCTGTCTAGCGACTGTCCCATCACAATAAAAGGGCAAAAATGGCTTAATTTAATCTCTAAATATTAATAATAGTTACTAATGTCAAGTCACCTTCATTTCTAGCGCTTTATACAACATAACATTAGTCAAAGATGCTTTACAAGGATGGAAAACAACAGGAAAATAGACAAATGCTAAAGGCCCGTTCACACCGGGGCACTTTTTGCTTTTATTTTTCATCAAGGTTTAACGCCTCCTGACTAAACATAGGATGCTAATGTGATCGTGCACACCAACATGCAAAACAGCAGACGTAAAAACGTCATTTTTAAAGAAACGCTTAATGCTCGTTTCTTTGTGTCAAAAACTTCTCCACCAATCAGATTGGCACTTTTGTTTTCAAGCTAGTGGCTGCTAAAGTTACAGTAAACACTACTTGGAGGCACTGTAAGGAAAACAGTTGAGGTGATCTCAGTTTCCTTTTTATTCAATGAAGAAGATGATGCACTGACATAGTTATTTACATTAGACCTCACCTATGGTATTGTTCTTTATTGGAGGGAATGCGACAATAGAGCCGCCATTTTAGTACAGGGTAGAGCTTCCTTGAAATGAATGTGGGAACAAGGTGCAATAGAGGACTGGCCATTCAGAGCCATAGATATGTAAACACATATACATATATCTATGACTGCTAATATGAGCTTAAGGGTGGTATATTTAGACTCAGTTGTGATCTAACTAACGAAAGCACATCTTAGTAGCAGGTGTAATGTAAATGTTCAATTCACCCTTATTTCTATAGCGCTTTTACATTGTAGTGTCAAAGCAGCTTCAGATATAAGTTCTAGTGAATTGAAACTGTCAGTCCAGTTTTCAAAGTTGAAGCTCAGTTTAGTTCAGTTCAGTGTGGTTTAATTTTCACTGCTGATAGTCCAAACACTGAAGAGCAAATCCATTGATGTGCAGTTCAACAAGTCCCAAATCAAGCCAGCCAGTGGCGACAGTGACAAGGAACAAACTTTACCATTTAACGAAAGTGAAGGAAAAAAAAACCTTGAGAGAAACCAAGCTTAATTGGGCACGACCATTTCTCCTCTGGTCAAACTTCCTGTGCGGAGCTGCAGTCTAGGCGCCAGAGGTTATGTAAATGAGATCTAAGAAACATCCAGTTGCTGCATCTGCTCACATACTGAGCTCATAATGCTTTCAAGCATTTAATGCATTTATGCAAATAGTCTGTACTCATTTACTCTAAATGTGTACAAGTGTCGACATTCATTTAGGCAAAAACTGCTTAAAATCCAATTCAACAGTTCTCATTGCATTTAATCCAATTTCAAACAACCTACAGATGTGTAGCTTTTTCTTGTCCGGACTACAAAAGTGCACCAAAAACTTTGATTTGTGCTATCTGTCTGAACAAAGCCAATGCAGAACATCTCATAATTGATTCTTCTTTTTCATTGGCATGATTAACACCCACTAATCCCTTAGTTCCAAATTGTTTTTTCTTTTTGTTTGTTTGTTTCCACTTTACTCTCTGCTTCTTACCGCTGCATCGTTCATCCAGAAAAAAAAGGAGGGATGCTGTCGAGAAAAGGAAGTTCAGTTGCCTTTCAGAGTATTTTTTTAGGAGTGGATGAGCAGAGTGGGCGTGGCGGGATCCTCTCTGTCCACCGCCTGCCCCCTTCTGGCTGAGGGACGTACTACAACTCGGAGAATGTTTAACCAACACTAGTGGCTTTTTCATAATCAGACTCTTACTTTGGGTTTCCAAAGGAAATATGACATTAGATAGAATATCTCAATGTATTTAAATAGCTTTGAAAAATGGAGAGAGACAGCAAACAGGACGGACCGTGTGAAACGCACCCGTCTCTCTCCGTAGATGATTTATTCCACCAATAATTTAATCATTTTTACCAATTATATACATATATATTTGACAGAAAAAAAGTATATAGATCTATGAATATAACATTTTTGTCATAAATATAAAAGTTATATATGATATTATATATATATAAAGACAAAAAACACTCTTGAAGATGATTTTTTGATGGTTCTCCTTTTAAGATGGACTGTAGCATGAAGCGTTACATCCCCATACGGAATGATGATTGACTGGTTTGTTCGATTTGCATTGTACCACCCTCTTATTTTCATTTCTTTTGGTGTATTTTCACAGAACCTGGTCTTCCATCTTTAATTGAACATCCCACAGTGGGGTGTAACC